ATAATGTTAAAAAGTCTAGTCTATTCGATGCATTGTTTTCACGGCTATTGTTATGCTGATTCACCTGAATACGTGGCCCGGTGGAAAAAACTTGGGCTTCAATGACACTGAGTCGAGTCCGGTTGAGCGAAGTTAGTACCGGGATGGGTGACTTGAAACTATTATCTATACTTTACCTTTCTATAATTTGAAAGTTGCAAGATTTTAATTCCCCCCGCAACTTTTAATCAATTACAATTCTTTTTAGTAGATAAATCATCGAAAACTAAAAATTGCAGGCAGTAATCTGTGGCCAGGTGTGTATGTTCGTTGGCGATTTTTCCTGGGAAAATGGGATTCCATGCATAGGGAATGGGATTGAGAATTGAGTATGGGATTTGGCCAAAATGGGGGCTGGGGAATGGCATTATATAGGAGCCCCCTAATTCAGGACCCTCTTCTAATTAGTATACGACGAAGACAGTATTTCATATTCTGTCCCGAGGCAGGACAAACATAAACAAGACAAACATGTCTGAGGCGGATAGCTTGAAGTTCCTCTACAAAGATGGGGATTATAGAATTCGTTCTTGTTGAGAAATCAGTCGAAAATAAAACTAAGCTCCACTAGAACTCAGTCCCAATTGGCAAACTGCGCGGCCAGTGCTTATCGTTTAATTTTTTAATTTTTTATCGTTTAACTTATATTTGCAGTCAAGTACAGTGGGACGACTCTTCTCAAATGGAGCAGTGCGCTTGTCTAACAAGCACTAACTCGTTTCATATTTTTTTAATTTGTTGCATGCCTCTTATGCGCCACCGTAAAAATCGGTATAAAAATAATGATTGTCAATCAATGAGAAGCACGACATTAGCGCATTTACTTAACGAAGATTTTCAATGAATAAAGCTAGCTACAAACCTTATCAATTTTTCCTCCTTAGTCTTCCGGCTAAAATAAAATAAAGCAACGGTAACAAAAGACAAGCTTAACTTGCATTCAACGCTTCTTCCGTCATCTTACTTTTCGGGGAAAAGCGCAGCTAACTACAAAAGGGAGAAGGGACTAGTTCTAACCCATGCAGACGCTAAAGTAAGGCGTAACTTATGCAGTGTAGTGTATAGGCTTCATAAGAAAAAAAACATAAGAGTGCTGTACAGGCCCGCAAATGATCCCAGGACCGCAAATGATCCCCGAATAGGACCGCAAATGATTCCAATACTGGATCGCAAATGATCGCGCAATAATACACGGAATGGTTCGGAGTGGGGGAATCCTCAACATGGATAATTATTGTGACAAACGTTGCGTTTCAAAATATAATGCGATTTACAGTTCTTTTGTTCATTTAAAAAACGGGAAGATAATAACAATGAAATATGGGTTGTATGCAAGCTGYATCACAACTTTCCAGATGTATATATGTGAATATATTTCGAAGCAATAAATTATTATGTATCTGTATACATTTAACATGTTTAAAATCTCTTCATTTCTATGATAAAAAATCTCATTGCTTGGGCTTCCTTTGTTGACATGCTTGCAGTGCTACGAACTGTCAGTGTCAACATGGTTCGAATACTTGCGACTGTTTTGCTCTTAGTTCTAATAATTTCAAGAGGATTTCAAAGAACACGTTTCAAATTGTTGTTGTTTTGACACTTGATCACTGACACTTGACTTGTTAATTGCTAATAATTTTTTGAATGATTTTTCTTGAAACATACGTCCAATTTACAATCGAAACATGCTTCATTTTTCAAGTTATAACGAGAGAATTTTAACCAATGTTTTATAGATCAAATGTTAACAACGATATATACAGTTCGATTTTGACTTMAGACATATACTGTATCCGTATACACATTTGCTCTTTTTTCATTTCTGTTATAATCAGAATGAAAAATGAAGTTCATATTATTCTAAATACGATTTGAGTCTAAGTTGAAAATACATAAGTAAAAGTATTTATAGGTTTCCCCCACTCCAAACCATTCCGTATATTATTGCGCGATCATTTGCGATCCAGTATCGGGATCATTTGCGATCCGGGATCATTTGCGGTCCTATTCGGGGATCATTTGCGGTCCCGGGATCATTTGCGGTCCTGGGATCATTTGCGGGCCTGTACACCCTGACGTGACCCGAAACGCTCCCGAACGATCTCCGATCAAAGAGTCACGTGACTTGATCGGCACGAGTAGCATGGCTCGACAACAAATYAACTGAATATTATCATGAAATGGCGGTTGATTCTTCACATTGAGAATAAAACTAATTTTATCGACYCAAGGCTGTGATTCTATGCAATCCGGCATCTTAGAGTCTTGAGCTATGGATGATGATGAGTCTGAGAGGCAGAAGAAACTGCAAGCTGGTAAAGAAAAGGTGAGTTGAACTCAAGTAGTGACGTGTAAAGTCATAGCTGAGCGCGCGAAGTTTGTTCTGCTGGAATTCTTTATGAACTTCACAGTTCTGTGGTCTTGCTATAAAAAATATGATAAGCGACTTTAAAATCGTCTTTTCTGCTATGTATAGCTGCTGATGTTCCAGAAGAAAAAGCAGGGCGTTAAGAAGAAGAAAAGAAAGGACAAAGTCTGTGGTAATAGTAGTGGATCGGCGTCCGGGACAAGTGGGAGTGAAGGTGCAAAACCTGCTTCAAATCAAGAACAACTCGAAGCTAATTCGAAGCAACAACCTGTTCAATCTGCTAGCCAGGAAGCTAGTCCACAGAAGAAAGAGAGAGAGCTTGAAGATATAAGCCAGACTGACACAGATCATGATGCTCCTTCAATCCACTCAGAGATCGGATCACCAATACACTTCGAGGTGACTGTAAACTTCATATTTTTGTTATAGCAATTTTGATTCTCTTTGTGAAAAAATAGCTTCTGTCACCTCTTAGAGGTTCTGGAATATAAATCTTCTGGGAATGCTTAATCTAAATCTTATCGACCGATGTTGTGATTACATTGTTTGACTAAATAATCGAGATTGTAAAATTATATACAAAGTCATTGAGATCACTGAAAGCCAAATCATTCATTGATAGTTGTTTTTGATCCTTTAGCGTTCCTTGGATGATTTAGTGGTTTCCCTCTGTAATCTCTAAATTTCTGTTTTTTTAATTTTTCAAAGTTGCATGGTAATTACATTTTTTAGTGGTTGTTGATGATTTCATCTCTAAGGGATTACGGCGGTGTCTGACGCATCAGAATGCACTGAGTTATCTTAAAATGTTATATAAATTCCAGTGCTTTGTAGGAAGCAAAAAATCACAAATATGCCATATATTCCTCTAGTTTATGATCTCAATTCTTGTGAAATTTTAATATATAGTTTATTGTATTACTAGCCACGCTGTAATCAACTGGCTATCAACTCATGCTATATTGTTGTCATGATGACTCATAACATCATGTTATAGTATAGTTTGACATGTTCCTAAAATGAACCCTCTTTCCTATATAGGATGAAGGAGGATTTCATTCAGGCCAATCAGGTAGCTATGCAAGTGGGGAATATACAAGTGGTGAGGAGTCATACACTTCAGAGGTAATATATATAACTATATAATGATTTATTGACAAGGAATGTTAATAGCTATGCTTGATCACAGCAAACTGATTAATTATGGCTATTGTTAGTGCAAATCTTTGTCATTAACTTTTTATCTGCTGTTTTATGGATTAAAGCTAGACGTATTTTGTGATGTGGATGGCTGTCAAGATTAAGTTTTTTGAATTCTGTCTTTCATATTAGGTACATGTAAACTATGAATATTAAGTCAGGAAATACTATCCTATATTAAACTTTTGTTTACCTTCTGTTGAATGAAGTTCAATCTAAGAATTATAAATTATGTTCAATATACTTCCTTTTCCCTTTGAATTTTCTTAAGTTTTGTAAAAGTAATATTATTTCGATTGCAGTTATTCCCTATCTGAAACAAAGAGTTTTTAGCCATTAACCTCTTGCTTACATTTACTCTATGTCTGTGTCTACACAAGCGTCTAAAATTCTTTTGTTGCCACAACAGCTGATGTTCCATTGCAACACACGTTCCTGTTCCCTGCTGTGCTATTCCTTATTATCCTCTCAATTTTCAATCTAATTTTCAAGCTCTGCATTTCAAATTCTCACTTAAATTGCTTTCTGTAATACAGTTTTTGGAACCAAAACTTTTGACATGTTCATGTCTAAAATCTGTTTGATTTCGTGTTGAACATTGGCTCCACAATAAAGTACCTAAAGAACTAATCCTTCTAATAGAACTTTGCTACATAAACTTTGTTTATTATCTGCTTACAGTAGGGTTTATACCTTAGTATTGGGTAGGATATCATAAATTGGATATTTCTTGAGTCTAGCCATTTAATAAAAGAACCATAAGGAAAAGATGTAGTCAGTAAAAGAAGATTTCAAAATAATATTGTATATCAGCAGGGATTTTCTTAATTATCTTATACAAAATGTGCATATTTCCTTATTATCATTTGGCAGCTATACCACTTCAGTTTTTTAATTGACTTATAACTGGGACGGCTTATATTTTTAAGGGCCTTATATTCTAACAAATTTGCAGATGACACAATATATTACATCATGTATACTCCAGGTCACAAAAGTGATTCAAACATGCTTTGGTTTCAAAAGTAGAATTCAGTCTTCATTCTCAGTTATAAAATACAAAATACAGTGGAGGGTAACTCATGTTTTCAGCCTAATTTCAAAACAAAACGATCCTTTTATTTTACCAATTAGTAGGTTTAGACTTATGTGCTCATGGACTATTGATTTGTAGACCATTTGGGCTGCAGGCATAATTTCATGGGGTGTGGCCGTCACCTAGCAAACCATTTTATAGCTTCCTTATTACATTTTACTTTACTCAAGCATGGACTAGGTGGCTAACCACTCTCCTTTGGAGGTATAATAATATTTTAGATTATAAGATAAAACCTTAAAATGAGTATTTCATTACTTTCTAGGTAACAGCCATCTTCTTTGAAATTTTCTGGTCCTGACACTGTTAAAATTTATTCCTATTTTTATGACTCCAAGGGAATGGTTTGCCACCCCCTTCTACCTTTAAACCTAAAAAAGCTAAATTCCTATTAAATGCGTGAGTTAGTCATTCCCTGACTTTGACCAGTGCAGAGGTTATTGCAGGGCATACTGTAGCACTAGTTGCTGTATATAATAAGCTATTGTCATTACCATGCCAGTCAGTGATCAGTTTGCTAATAAAACAAAGCATTTGGCAAGAACTATTGTGATGATGGTTGGCAAATGGATTAAATAAATAATAAAAATAAATGGGATTTAGCAGTGGCTTTGCACAGACAGAGTGGCTCTTCGTCCACTGTAATTACAACTAGAATTTTATAAGTTGATTTTTGTGGAGGAAGGATAACAAGAGAAACCTGTGCAAAAGCCCTTGAAGCACAGGAGAGAACCAACAAGCAACTCTACTGACATACGACACCAAGCACAGTGGGGCTCCAACCCGGGTTGCATTGGTGAGAAGCGAGAACTGTGCCATCCTCTCTTTCCAATGCTACATCGCAATGCTAATGCTGAAAACACTGACTAGCACTATTAATAATAATTGAAAAAAGACCACCTTGTATCCACCCTTGGCATCATGCTCAACCTCAATGATGTCTTAATCTTCTCTTTTTCCCCTATTAACAGGATGGTGGTGTGGACAGTCTCGTCTTTGCAAACATAGAAAGAAATGAGCTGAAAAACAGAACAACAGAACTTGAAGAAGAACTTACTGCCAAGAAAAGTGCTCTGAAACAAATAAGCAGAGAAAATGCTGATTTGAAGTCCAAACTAGACCTGATGATGAAGGATGAGACTGGCGCGTCAGTGATAAAAGATCTCACAAGACAAGTAGAAGAATACAGGGAAAATCTTCGCACTAAACAAGCAATATTAACAGACATTAATAAAGAAAATCAAGAGTTACGAGCACAATTAAGTGGTAAAAAGCCAATCCAAGGAGATGCTGTTAAAGTCGAGCAACTGACAAAAGTACTAGAAGTCAAACAAGCTGCTTTGGAAGACTTAAATAAACTAAATGAACATCTTGATGCAGAGAATAAACAGCTGAAGAATCAAATTAGTGGTCTAAGTAAAGGCAGTGACTCATCGCTTGAGCTTCAAAGAGGCCTTGAAAGTAAATCAGCTGAATTGGAAGAGCTGAAGAATTTTAATGAATTGATTCTGGAAGAAAATACGATGCTTAAAGAAAAACTGTCTTCAAATGAATTGGAAGTGGACGATGATTTGCGACAAAAACTGAGAGTAAAGGATCAAGCTCTTGTGGAAATCCAAATTAATTATCAAAGTTTACTTCATAAACTCGAAGAGGTGGAGTCCCAGAAAAGTAGGGCTCAAATTCAGGAAAGTTTTCAACAGTTGGACGATCTCTCCGCCTTGGTTTCACAGAAGGAAGCAGAGATAGCTAATTTGATAGCAGCAAGAGAACAGCTTGAAGAGAAGCTAGAAAACTCGGCTCATATTCATGTTCAGTTAGAGGAAAGCCATAGAAGGTCTGTTGATCTGGAAATGGAATTGGACAAACTTCGTGCTCAGATACGAGACCTAGAACGCGAGGCATCCAAGACATCAGACCTGTACGAGGAATTGAGAATCAAGGAAGAAACGTCAAATCGATTATATCACGAAAATGAAGACCTGAAGGCCAGATTGGCCACTATTGAGTCGTCAAATCTCAAAGAACTTCTCGAAGAAGGTTATAGAAATCTTGAGGCAATGTCTGCTGAGTTAAAGGAGAAGAATACTGAAGTCGAAAGGCTGAGTAATACACAGCAATTGAGTAACAAAAGAGTCAATGATCTCGAAAATGAGGTTGTTTCTTTGAGAGCTCTTGTTGCCAGTCTCGAAGACAACTCACTTTCGGAAAATTCTCAGATGGAGAACCTAAGGGAAAATCTGAAAGCCAAACAACAGACTGTCAACCAGTTGAACCAAGAGTCAGAAGAACTCCGTGAAAAACTCTCCCAGTTAAAAGAACTGTCTAAGAATGATAAAGAACTACTTAATACTGCACAAGACAAGGTAGTGGAACTTGAAGGTGAGTTGAATAAGAAAGATGAAGAGTTGGAGAAGACTCGTTCAAGTCAAAAGATAATGGAAGATGATTACCAAAAGAAGATCTCAGAACTACTACAAGAAATAGTTGAACAAAGAAGACAAATCGATGCAATGGAGGACAATTCAAAGTCAGAGTCTTCGGTTCTGGAAAACATGAAAACATCTCTCAAGGCAAAGCAAGACACGATGATGCAGTTGAATAAAGAGAACGAAGAAGTTAGAGCCGAGTTGGAGAAGTTAAGTTCCAAATTAGATGAAGTTTCTCAGGATCGTGATAACAAGAACAAGGAGATGGAGGAGGTGAAGAGTGAAAGAGATAATAAACTATTACAGGTGATGGAACAGTTAGCTGGTAAAGATGGTGAACTAGACGATCTGAAGACTGCGAATGAAGAAAGAGAGAAGAAATTACAGGAATCGCAAAACGAGGTAATATACAAAAAACTTGTACATTGAAGCATATGGGCCAACCTCGCACCCTATCGCCCTCCCAAACAACAAAAGGTTCGGAATAACAGAAATCTCTATGTAATGAAGTGGTTCCCTTTATGGATAATACCCGGTAGTCTCTCAGTAGCCGATCCAAAAGTGGTTCCCCTTTTAAAATCATGGATCCGCCACTGATACTAATGGAGTTGCTGTGAATTTGGCGGGAACTTTTCGCGCTAAAACGTGCGCGCTCGCCCGGCTCATTCCTCCAATATTAATTCAAACTGTCTTGAGTTTAAACAAATGTGTCGTAGTAGATAATTTTATCACCGTAGGTGCGAAATATAGTAGACTGACGTTTCGGACGTTAGTCCTTCGTCTTGAGTTTAATTGAATTTGGACAAACGCATTTTGATCCCCCCTTAACTAAAATCTTGGATTCGGCCCTGCATGATAAATTACACCTATTCAGTCAAAAAAAGGTTTTCAGGGCCAAGGGAGAAGTGCGCCATCTCCTGTGGCTCTGACAACCTCTTTTGAAATAGGTGTGTGAATTTCGTTCTCGATCTAAAATTTGTAACCTTTTTTCATTATGATTTTGTTTACTAACCGTGTTCTTGTTTCCAGTTACTCACTTTTAAGACGCAATCCGAAAATCTCGCAGAACAACTAGAAACGGCACAGAACCGTTTGTTGGAGTTCCAGAGTGTAGTAGAAACCAAAGAAAACGATATAAGGAAACTGAATGAACAACTGCTAAATATAAGGACTGAACAAGAAGGATTGAAACAGGATACTATACAAGAAGGGCAAGAAATGTTGGGGAAGATCAAGATGCTGCAGCAGCAGTTAGCTGAAGTGAGTAGATAGTTAATTAGCAGTGATCTGAGTTAGGTCAGCCGATACGCTGTTTCGGGGTTTCCAACTGTGAGTTAGCCATGCCCAGACTTAGGTCAGTCCAGTCCATGGACTGTTTCAGGGTATTGAGCATCGAGTTAGCCGTGTCCTGACTTAGGTCTACCCAAAGGCTGTTTCAGGGTATCGAACTGTGAGTTAGCCATGCCCAGACTTAGGTCAGTCCAGTCCATGGACTGTTTCAGGGTATTGAGCATCGAGTTAGCCATGCCCTGACTTAGGTCACTGAGCCCAGAGGCTGTTTCAGGGTTCGATAAAATAGGACTGGTCACAAGTGGATCAGTAACTTTGCTTTCTTTTTTCAATTTAGTTCTCAATTCTAATTCTGTGGCGCACTTATTTTTTCCAACAGAGCGACAGCACTCTGAAGAAGCAACAAGAAAACATGCAGAAAACATCTGACGAAGTGGTCGACATGACGTCAGTGATTGACGACCTCAAGCATCAGATAACCAAAAAAGAACAGAGGATTGAAGAACTAGACCAGCAACTCGTAGAATCAAGAGAGAAAAGCGCTTTAGAATTGAAACAAGCTGCAGAAGAATTCAACCAAGAAAAATCAAGACTGATGAAAGAGTTGCAAGAGAAAGACGGCATGTTGGAAAACTTGAATGGAGAGTTCAGTGTCTTGAAAGAAGATCTAGCGAAGAAGGAAAGTGAGCTTGAGAAAATGAAAGGTGAATTCATTGCTACGATATCCGAGGTTGAGACTATGCGGGTGCAGTTTGAAGATGAAAAGGAGAAGTCTTTGAACTTGGAGAATCAACTTGAAGAAATAAGGAGAAAGAATGATGAAGAACTTGAACGAATCCAGAGTTCGTATCAAGAAGAAATGCAGAAGGAAACCAATGAACACATGAAAGAACTACAAGGTTTAAAAACGCAGTTAGAGCGGCAAATTGAAGAGAAAGGCCTTGAAAGAGATCTATCAATGAAAACAGAGGTTGATCAACTGAGAGCAATTTATGACAGCGAATTCAATACACTRAAAGATTCCCTTGAGAAACAGAAGTCGTTGAGCAGCGAGTTGGAAAAGCAAAGAGATGAAGCTCAGGTTAATTATGATCAAGTTCGAGAGCGATTTCTGGAGAAGGAGAAATCTTTGACAGAACTGCAGGAAGTGTTGAAGAAAAATAGCCAAGAAAATGAAAGAGTTATTGAAGAACTCAGAGACGAAGTATCAAAGTATCAGGAATTTGTAGCAAAGCGTGAAAGCGATAAAGAAATGACAGAATCCCACAAGGAAGAAGAGAAGCTCCAACGAGAGCATAGTTCCAAAGAGATAGACAGGCTAGCCATGGAACTCGAAGAAGAAAAGAAAAAATCTTTGCATGTCGAGACACTGGAAAATGATGTTTCTACTCTTGTTGAGGAAATTAAAGATTTAAAGAATGAACTTATGAAAAAAGACAAAGTGATTGCTGAGCTAAATGACAATTTGACGAGCTTCGAAGAAGAACATGATTCGGAAGTCTCGTTGCATGAAGATAGTTTACGCAAGGAGCAAGAAAAGGCAGCTGAACTTGAGAAGAAGTTCGTCCTGGAGATAAGTAGTGAGAGTGCCAAACACCAACAAGAGCTGGAACTTGTGAAGCAAACTTACCAAGAGGCGATGAATGAATTGAAAGGAAGGCTGGAAGAAGCAGAAGCGGCCAACGAAGCAATGCAAGAGAATCAGGCACGAGAGATGGATGACTTTAAAAGTAAACTCGAGGAGTACACGAAGAATGTGGAGGAACAGCTATTCCAGCTAAAGGCTGAAACAGAGAATAAGGCTAAAGGGGATATTAAGAAAGTTCAGGAATCTCACCAAAAAGAAACGCAAAAGCTAATGGAAAAGCTGAAGAATCTTACCACAGAAAAAGAGATGAAAGATGCTGAGAATGAAACGTTGAAGAAACAGTTGAAGGACATGGTTGATCAGCAGAACTCTGGTATAGACAATGAAGAGCTTTTGAAACGGCGCCTAGAAATAATGAAAGAGGAATATGAAGGACAGATCAATTCCTTGAAAGAACAACTACAAAACTTAGACGAAAAACACCAAGCTGAACTTGGTGATTTTTCAGAAGAAAAGGAGCAACAATTCGTGACAGTTATGGAAGAAGTAATTCAGAAACATCAACGAGAATTGGAGGAGCTGAAAGCAAAGAGCGGCTCGGATGGAGAGAAGGACTTCGACGAACGCTTACGAACAATGGAAGAAGAAAAAAGACTTGAAATAAATCGTGTACACGAGAGACTGTTGCAAGAAAGCGAGGAGAGGTTAGCAGAAGGTCAGCAGCTTCTTCTACAACAGATAAATCAAAAGGAGCAAGAGGTCCTGATGACGAAAGAGAAAGCTAACGAGTTGGAACGAGAATTAACGGGCGTCAGAAAAGAAAAAGATCGACTCTTAYACGAAGTGCAGATATTAACAGAAACTCGAAAAATCATGGATAACGAGAGATCTSCTATTAAAGAACCTATAATAGGAAAGAAAATAAGGCAGGTTGTGCAGGAAGAACCTCTATTTGCGGCCTCTATTGCTGACCAAGTCGAGGGGCTACCTCCTAGTGCTGATTCTGAAGAAACCCCTTCTTCATCAGAGCGGCCAGAGTTGGCGAATAAGCTGCAACAGATGGAAGAGATCATCCATGAGAAAAATAAAGTTGAAGTCGAATTGAACAAACAGCTGAACGATCTCAAGAAGGAACTGAAGCATGCCCGAGAATCGTCGAAGAAAGATCTCCACGACAAACAGCAACGTGAACGGACATTAGAGTCCAGTAAAGAACAGCTCGAGATGCAGTTGTCGGCCCTGGAGAGGGACAGTTATGACTCAATTAATGAGTTGTCTATATTGCAAGAAAGGTTGCAGGAAAAAGAACGAGTCGTGGAGGAGCTGAAAGATGAGAAGGATAATCTGCTTTCGGTGTTGAAGGAGAATAATGAGGTGGCTTCCCGGGAGAAGGAGTCGTTGTTGAATGCATGCAAGAAGCAAGACGTCATGATCAAGGTATTAGATCATTTATTTCACTGTTTCTGTCTATCTTGTTTCATGTTTTTCCGTTGCAAATGTGCGCCATATTAAGAATACAGTACACCCAGTGGCTGACAAACCTATTGCYCTTGTGCCATGATCAAGTGGAATTTAGAATAATATTTTTGCTGAGGGAGGAAAAAAGGAAAAAGACTCTTCAACCACAGTTGCGAACCAACAAGCAACTTTACTCACGTGTGTTGGTGGGCCAATCATCAAGCCCTTCAAATACCGCAACGCAGTAATTACATTACAATTTGTTGTTTTCATCATGCGTACGGCTTGAAAAAACAAGCAACACAGCATGAGTAAAGAGCTGGTACGCAGGCTAAGAAGAAATATAAATAGTTTTGATCGCGTTGTTGTCGGTTACTTTGTCTCTCTTTGTTACTTTAAGCCGCGTGAATAATTTGCACAATCTTGTACAAGGCGATGTTTAATCACAACAAGGTCACCAATGATCGTTCTATGATGACGGTGATTGATCTTTAAGTTAATTTAAGAAAGCGTTATCATTTTTTGATAATAGTTGTAATCTTAAATTGTATGGTCCTACAAGCACACCCTTGTCTAGTTTAYAAGTTCAACAAACCAAGTGCATTTTTGCTTTCCGGTAGATGCTGTTCTTGATATTGTTGTTTTTGGTAGTGGTGATGGTGGTTGTGGTTGTGGTGGTTGTAGTAGTGGTGGTAGTATTCCGAGTCGGTGTTTTTGTTGATGTTAATGTTGTAATTAAAAGTTGACCCCTCATAATCTGTTTCAGGAGTTACAAGATCGTATATCCACCTCAGACTCCGTATCAAACGACCTTCAAGACGTCTTTGGTCGTCAGATTCTCGCACTTCAAGACCAACGCGACGAGCTTCAACAACAACTGGAGCAGCAGAAGCAAGAACGAAGCTCGTACGTGGATATACTCGAAGAAAAAAGCGTGCTGGAAGAAAATCTACGCGTAGAACGAGAAAAACTTTCCGAAAAACTACGACAAAAAGAAGTATTGGAACGAGAACTAAACAGAGAAAGAGCAGCTTTGCAGGAACAACTATTCAAACAGAGTAAACTCAATGAAATCATACGACAAAAAGATTCGTTTGAGAAGGAATTGATTAGACAGAAAGACGAATTGGAGGTATGGGTATCAATAGTAGTGACTGACTAAGTGGGTTGATCGTCCCTCTTGTGTCCTACCCCTTGTCCATTGTCCCCACTACTAACTCTTTACCCCCATTACTGTGTTGCTGTTGCTTACTCCGACGGGGGTGAGGGGTGAGGCAGTGATAACGCACTCGCTCCACACCTCAAGGGTCTCGGGTTTGATTCCTCCTATTGTGGATATCTCAGTTGAATAGAAGGTTTTTCTCCCTACCCAATACCTTACATGTTCAAGTAATTTCCGCTTGGATCTGTTAGCTAGCCGTGCCCTGATTTAAATAAACCCACAGTTTGTTTCAGGGTTTGATGAAATTAATGTTTTGTATGAACCAAATTCGTTTCAGGACGAGCTCGGCGAGATCGAAAAGAAACTCATGGAAAAAGAAGAACTCTTAATTCGTGAGAAGGAGCTACTAGAGCAAGAAATGAAAAACAAAGAAATGCAGTTGCAAGAATGGGAAAAGGAATTCCACGAAAAAGAGATGGAATTCTCGAGCTCTTTGGATCAGCTCAGGAGAGAGTTGGATACAGATTACAGACAACAGATGGTGCAGTTAGAATCGACACTCCAGGACCGCTACAGTCAGGATATGGAGACACTAGTGGCTGGTCATCAAGAACAGGTGCTTTGGGGATAACTATTAGAAAGAGGGTTCCTGGGGTGGGGGGCTATACCTCATTACAAAATAGTGTGTCGTATTTCACGGGGTTTTACCTCGTTGAAGTAGAAGCAATCATAAAATGTATTCTTTAGGAATAATTTTCAGACCAATACTTCTTTTCCGCGACATGTTTAATTGGTTTAACTTGGTTGTGCCTTAAAAGTATCAAAATTATCCCATAGATCAGTTCAATCTAATCTTTGGTATCCAAAAGTCTGCCTTTTTTGAAATAGGTGTATGTAACATTAGAGTTAGAGATACTCTAAGAGACCATGAAGTAATAGGGTGACCCTAGTACTATGGAAAAGACTCTTGTTTCTCTTCCCTAGGGAATATCAAAGAGAAAAAAGCAAGTCCAAGCAATACAAGTGCCACCCTACATTCATTTAAATTGCCACTAAATATTGTGAATAGCGTGTGGGTGTGGGGGGAGGTGTGGGTGCTGGGGGAAGGGGGAATCAGTTCTAGAACTGAAATGTTTGAATCGTATATATTTTGATACCTTCGTTGTAGGCTTACTTATAGTATAAGAATGCTACTCCTCAAATCCTCAGAATCCAATATCTTTTATTGTTATTATTATCATTAATCAAAAAATCAAACATTTTAAGCAATTCTTCCTTATCTAGTAAAACAGATTTGGCTTATTTAGCTGTTTTACTCGAAAACGTTTCTGGGTTTTCTGTTTTTGTCATATTTTGAAACTCATTTTATTGTTAGGGTAATGTTCTGCGGTTATTGATAGTAACAGTACTCGTCGTAATCTATCGTGTTCAGTCTGGGTAAAGAAGGGCAAAGATGGTTACAGATTTTGTTGTTGTATCAGTTTTATTCTCAAGGTTGTGGGCTTTGTCACGGTTTTCGTTTTTTCATTGTACTTCATTTGTTGTTCACTCCATATTAATGTGTACGCTTTGTTTCATTGCATGACATTTGTAACAGTCGAATTCTTGTCACGGTTAGCTGAAGAACTATAAAAGCGTGACATCTTAATATTATTAAACCTTTCAAAATAAACTTGTAACTTTGGTTACTGCTAAAACGAGAAAAATACGAGGGCTTTGTAAGAAGTTATCAACCTTAAACCATGAAGTCTGTAGTCATTTCTGCCCTCTTTGACCTCGACATAAAACATAATAATCCTAATATATCGTATTTCTATTAAGGAATTTCAAATATGTTAACCTTGAATCGATACACAGTCGGAGGTCGTTCGTATCTACAAGAAATAAATACGACGCTAAAATTCACTGAAATTACTATTTTTAAAGAGATATTTTTGAATCCTTACTAACTCTGTGTGTATTTGGAGTAAAAGAGAGATCAAAATACACCAAATTAAAATTACTAAAAAAATTAAAGAAATTAAAAGCTTTACTTAAAGAGACAATTTTATACGTTATTTAGTCAGTATGGTTATTGGAATTCACGATATTATTCAGATTTAAAATAAAGCGTAAAGTTTTTTCAGATTATAATAATATTAAATTGTTAGATAAAATAGACTTTTAGTCGGAAATTATAAAATCGATGTAACTTTTATATTCAGTTACGGAGTGTTTATAAATAAAAATCTTTAAAGTTATTTAACTGTGGTTTTACTGAATGTGTCTATTTGGTGTTGTACTTCTTCTTTTCCTCTTTACTCAGACTGAATTCTCTACGCTATTTTCTACTTTAATTTCATTTGAAGTATTTGTTCTCCTGTAATATCTTTTTTTATTCGCTTTGTTTTGTCACTTTTTTCGTCAGTTTGTACGATAAGATTTTGTCTACGTCTTTTACTTCTTCTTTACTCAGACTAAATAGTGTTCTCAACGCTATTTTCTACGCTGATTTCATTTTAAATATTCCTTTTCCCAGATAATTGCAACTTCTTTTTTTATTCGTTTCGTTTTGTCACTTTTTTCGTATGTGGAATGAGATTTTATCTACGTCTCTTACTGATTGCAGAATGAATTCGCTACGCTATTTTCTACACTAATTGCAAGTTGAGAATTATTTTTCTCTAATAGCTGTAGTATCTTTGTTCTCCGACGCTTTTTGTCTTTTTTTTTTTTTTTTTTTTTTTTTTTTTTTTTTTTTTTTTTTTTTTTTCTTTCCTTTTTCTTTTCTTTATTCATAAGTCTGCTGTCGTCGTATTCTTATCCATTCATGTTCATTCAGTTGATACTTTTCTTCATTCATTTGGATGTTTCAGATTTCTTCAAATGTATCCCAGTAGTCATTCTTATAATTTTATTCATTTTCCCCCTTCATTTTCAATTATTCCTGTGTCCTGGGTTTTTTTCCAGCTTTTGTTTTCATCAGTCTTTCTTTTCTTAACCTTTTTACTTTTTCTATCATTTTCACTCGGAATTTTTTTTCATTCATTTATTCTTTTCCATTCTTCCACTAGCCTCGATTATTTTTTTCATCCGTATAAGTAATTTACTTGCTTTATATTGTAACCAGTAAGCTAGAGAGTTAGACGACTGTCACTCAAACACTGGTCTATCCATTGTCATGTATCTCGTCTGTCTTCTACCATCAAGTTACCACGATTCTCATTATCATTCAAAGATATCAACTGCAACACGAATGGCAGCCGTACCTGTAGCACCTGTTGCCATAGAAATTAAAAACAGTCATGTTACTTTCGTTGCCACGACAACAAGAACAAAACAAGTGTCTTTTTCAAACATTAATTTTCAAATTACAAGAAAAAAATCATATTCCGTTCTATCGTTTGATTGCATATTTGATTTTTATCTCTTTTTCTCGGTTTAAGCATACTTCTTGTTTTTATTTTCGTATTTCCGGACTCAGAACCGTTTTTTTCGAATCCATTATAAACATCTTTTACGCGGGTCGATTTGTCAAGATGATCATTTTTGTTCACTAAACATTGTTTACTCTATACTGTAATTCTTTCCAAAAGACTTGTTTTGATCAACTTTAATAATTTTTCATTTTTAATATCTAATTTTTTGGCTTCGTAAAACTAGTTTTTAGTATTTTCTCGCTTTAGACTAGCGTAATAAATCATCTATGTCACGTAGATCGAACAACGTTTCAATCAAGAAAAGAAGCTTGCGTTATGAAATCTATGAAGTAACTCGTAACAGCTGATACGTAATGGCATCGAACTATGCCCATATAAATAGCGCTGAGCAAACATCACACGACCGCTTGGCACTGGTTTGGTCACCGTGACATAGCCAGACTAAAAGAACGACAAACTAGCATCATTCAACCACAGGTCATGCTATCCAGCCATGTACTATCGGCTAGAAATAGGAATGTATCGGGTATATTATTTTCTAGAGCGTCTGAAATAAACTGGAAAGCAACCTCGTGGATTTTAAACTAACATTGGTTGATGTCACGGGAAATCCTCATTTTGTACTTCTTTACGATCTTCTGGCTTGGTTTTTAATGTATAAAATCGTGTTCAGATGTCATGGGATCTTGGAACGAACTCTCTCTGTGGCTTGTAGATTCGTTGATGGAAAGGCCATGTTTTAAGGTCAGGATGAACGAGTTTATAGATCAATATTGTAAAACGACGTGTTATACCATTTGCTCGGAGACTTTTTTCATTTTTGGCTGTTTTTCATATTTTATTGACTTCATGCCAGAAACTGTATTTTTACCGTTAACATAGAATAACCTTATGATGATAGATTTGTTTTGAAATGGTTCTGAGTCTAAACTTTTTTAGAAAATTACCGCTTAACAACTTACGATTATTCATAGCAAAAACAAATTTGCCAAGACGCTACATTCTCGCTCAGAAAATGTTAATTATTTTTATTAGATTACGAAAAACATAGGGATACATATGAATATATATCTGATCTTAGAAGAAACGGTTAAACTACAAGTGAATATATTTTAGTCGCAGTCACGAAATGAATGTACTAACTCTTCAATAGCCGCTGACTTGATCAAATCAACCAATCAGAATTTCCAATACRAACCATTTAGACCACTTGCGACACCTGTTACGAGACTCATAACGAGACTTCCTATTGGTTGACCGAGTATTTAGGAGTAAATATTATGACATATTACACATTCGCATCCTTGACTCAAAACCTCCATTTCCTTTACTTGCATTCAATATTTTCTTTATTCTAATTTAGACATTAACTTTTTGCCGTATTCTCAAATTATATTAATATTGACAGTTTGGCAAAATTCGGAAGTTTTGACTAAATTGTTTTTCGTTCGTTGTGTGTTATGAAAGGATCAAGTATTCTGATGTTCAAACAGTAAACACAAGCTCGTTTTATGTTGAATGTTTAATGCACACATTGTCTATGCCAGCTATGTTTTTGTCATACATCGTTGTCATTGGTCGTGTTGTAATGCCTGACAATGTGTCGCTAAGTGTCTTTATTAATTAGACCGAACTGTTCTTCCCAATTGCCTTCTTTTCACAAAAAAGTTGCCTGACTACGGTATCTACGTTGATTTTGGCGTATGTTTTGCTCTTGTAAGATCAATATTTCTTCATATGACGGACAAGACTTCAATTTCTCAAGGTAAAAAAAGTTAAACTAATATACCTATAATCGGAATATGCCTCAAACATTYATCCTATAAAAAAATGAAAGATTTTATTCTACGCTCGGTTGTGGTCGAGTAATCTTGGCTGCACGGCTCCATCCTGATCTTTACCTATTCCCGCTCTTCAATATTTGTGTATGCTGTACTGTTTTATTGCTTGCGGTTCGTTTATAAGTTTATTGATTAATTTACCTCGTTAGTTTTTAATCTCATGAACTTTACACTGGTGGAGCAATATTCTGTCGCATGAGGGGCAAGAATTACATCTTTCTTGCCAGGCTTTTAGTCCACACCAGGCTCCTCGATCCATATATATATAGTACATGCATTTTTCGTTTATTCTCATACCTTTATTGTTTTTTTTTTATTTATTTATTTTTCCATTCGAAACTAACTTTTTTTTTTTCATCGTTTTGCCAAACAAACCAACATAGATAATGTAAAGGGTTGTATGAGGGGAGCTCGCTAGCAATATCTCTAGATCTTGTAGGTTTTGAATACGTCTGCTTGCGGAAAGTTGACATCTCAAGGTAAATAAGAGATAATGTTGTGACAATCTCTTTCACCTTAATGCAAATACACGTTGGATTAGTATGATAACTTACTTTTCATTTGCGAGAAATTCAAATATTAGGAGATAAGAGTGTTTTGAGTGAACACTTTCGGTAGAAAAAGGGTAATTGTGATCGGTGCATTAACTATTGAAGTAGATCACATCGTTAATTATTTTTGGACTGCATTATTATCAGTGTCATCATCATTATACTACATCATTATCAATGTCATCATCWTCAGCATTCTGCATCATCATCAGTGTCATCATTATCATTATACTACATTATCAGTGTCATCATAGTCATCAGTAGACTGCATTATTATCAGTGTCATCATTATCATCAGCATTCTGCATCATTATCAGTGTCATCATTGTCATCAGCATTCTGCATCATTATCACTGTCATCATTATCATCAGCATNTGTCATCATTATCATCAGCATTCTGCATCATTATCAGTGTCATCATTATCATCAGCATTCTGCATCATGATCACTGTCATCATTATCATCAGCATTCTGCATCATTATCACTGTCATCATTATCATCAGCATTCTGCATCATCAGTGTCATCGTCATCATCAGTAGACTGCATCATTATCAGTGTCATCATCAACATTATGAGTAGACCGCGTTATTGTCACCAGTGTCAGCATCGACATAAACATCATTATCATCATCACGGACTGCATCATTATCTGTGTCATCATTATGAGTAGACCTCATTATTATCTGTTTCATCATAGGTTATAACCCTTAGAAGGCAGCAAAATTTAAGAATTTGCAACGAGAGCAACCTCTGTCATTAAACTTATTGAATGTAATTTCGTCCTCTATAGCGATGAATGAGTGCTCAAAGTCTGATTGTTGATGTTAATCAAAATCATAATTATTCTTACAAGAATTCACTTCCAATCTCGTATGAACCATTCTTCACTAAACAATGCTTGCTTCAAAACTCGGCACTCTTTATAAAGACCCTCAAAATCTTCAGACGTTCAACAGTAGCACAGGAAACCCAGCTGCTATGCTTTCTTTCACATCTATTCATTAATCGCTTTATTGTCCAAGTGCAATTAAAGACTGAGCCTCTATTATGGAAATACCACTGGATCATTCAAAATTCAAAATAAATACCTGAAACAAAAGTCTTGTCAAAACTGTATCCGGCTTTTGAATAGGACAACTTGGAAGCGGTATACTAAACATTGGTCATTATTTTCAAGTTAGCGTCCTTTCGAAAAACAATATGTAGAAACAGTCCTTTACTAGCTTGGTTGAATGATTCTGGGTTATTTTTATGGTTACAGATTGCTCGCATGAGTGATGATTTCGAGGAAAGACTCAAGGTTCTGAAGAGTCAACTGGAAACCGAAAGACTGAAGCAAGTTAGCACGATGAAGAGCGTACTCGAGAGACAGCAATCCAGTGAACTCGTTGACTTGGAAGAAAAACATCGCGGGGATTTGGAAGAGATAAGAGACGGTAAGTGCAGGATTTTCTATTATTATTCCATATTATCTACAGACTGTACTAAATATTTAGACTTCGAGGTTGAAGGAATTAGATTGAATCAGAATTGAATTATACTAAATATACTGCAGAAATAACACCTCGAAAAACATCAACACCAAAAGAGACAATGCACAATCTATAAATTATAGAATTTGTTTTATATCCTTCGTAGAAATAAATGTTTTTTTAGCTTAACTTAAGCAGACAATCGAAACGATATTACAGCTACAATATTCAAATTTCGAAGTTTGATTATAAAGTAGTTTCACAAATAGTTATCTTCTCTTACTGTCTATTTAACATCGCTGTAATAAAGAATAAAATACAAGATTTTTACAGATAATACACATCAAAATAATCTTTATAGTCTAGTATTAAGATCATTGAGCGTTAGAATGAATGAATATTATGAATGTTAATAAATAAGCAGATATCAATTTTATATTTTCCCGCCTTTTTCAAAAATATTTCAACGCGCACTCGTTTCTTTTTTTTCAAACACGAATTTGGTGCGATTATTCATGTATTTATTCACTACGATAAATTAGATTATTTAGTTTTCAAACATTTTTAAATTAACGTGCATTGAAATTAGTTTATTGTGTTGATTTTGTTTACTTAATTATTAAATATGTTGATTTTAAAATTCAATTATATTTAGGATGTGTAGCAAGGTATTTTGGTTAGATAAAAACGCTAAGCCCAAGCTTTTCTGATCGCACAATAAAATGTATATTTGATACAAMAGTGATCTCCCAGGATTACGAAATAATTATTGTCGAAACAAGAAACTTTCGCGCTATCTTTTCTAATCTAATGCTGTTGTATACAATGCAGAATATGAAAACAGTATTAAACGTTGTGGCGTGACAGGCTCTAATGACACGAAAATCCAAACTTTTCAATCAAATTAAATTCAATATTAGCGCGTGTTTTGGCTGAATCTTTGAAGGCGGGATACAAAATACTGCAGATTTGCTCCTAAGTTAATGATATTGTATAGATTTAATATGCAAAATACTGACAACATTAAACACGGGCTCGGTGGGGAATAGTTCAAATTGAACTGCGTTGTCATGGAAGCCTATCTTTTCGTTTCATACTTTTCTGTAGTGCTAAGTGATCATGGTTTCCTAGGTTGCTATCATTTCTCGTGATAACATAAATACAAAACCCTTTGGAAAGTAAAAGACAATATGCTAACGGCTCTTGTTGTCATGTTTCGAGTGTATGCAAACCCGCTTTACTGAAAATCTCAACTACGATGGCTCTTTTCTTCTCTAACGCTTTGCATAAATGGAATAGCATCAAAGGTAAAAGTTAGAAATGATCGTATTTCTGTTGCACCTGTTCAAGGTGAACATGAAACGAGTTTCAGTTTTAACTCATTGATATATTTTTATGTAATACCTAACAGTGATTCAAACTAGATTTCCACTTTTCTTTTTCAAAAATATATGTTAAAAATTTATAAATCTATTAACCTTTTATCTAAATGAGCGAGGAAAATAGGGACTAGAAATAATGGCTATGTTTGTCATTCATAGTTTTTTTTAAAAAAAGAATAATGTCTGGGGCTTAAGATTAAGCTATTTACAATAGATCACTTCAACATTTCATTCTTTATATTTCAAAGAGTTATCACGTTTGTTTACCGTTTAGTTAACCTAAATTAATTCTAGGTAATTGGAATAGAAACCAATCGGCTCTTGATACATTTAAATAAAAAACACCACTTTTACAAGTGTTTATGCGTGTTTAGGTTGTATTAGAGCATCGATTATTTTAACTAGCCTGACATTATAAAATGGGAATAGTTTTTAACGACACGTCAGTCGAATCTAATCTATTACTGGTCGCGTATTTTAGATATATACATATTCATATATATATGTTTATGCGTAAGTGACATAATAATAATAGAGCGAAGAAAGACAACTGGTAACTGTTACAGAATGTCGTATACAAAGTTAGTTTAGGTCTTTTAATTCGGCCCTAGACTATTTATTATCTGTCCGTCCGTCCGTCCGTGCATCCAATCCGTCCATCCAACCATTCATCTGTTCATCCATCCATCCCTCCATCCATAYATTCATCCATCCACATATCTAATACATAATCATGTGTTTTTTATTGGCTCATTTCTCGTTTCATTTCCTTTATCAATATGGCCATTATATTCCAATAAATCACGAAATCACAACGCACTAGGTACGGCTTCTAAGATACGGTACGCTACCGTACGACTACGGATTTGCCCTATCATTTCCCGCTCACACAAAAATCGCTCTAATTGATACATGCCTAGTTCGTTCCCCAGTGATTCCACACATTTATTTCAACTTCTTTAACGTCTTTCAAAACGAGCACTAATGTAGAGATGGGGTAAAGTGCGCAAGATCTGCTTGCTTGGATACCAGCGACTTCAAGTATAGTTTATTGCCCTCACCTCCAAAGATCCCATAGTTCCTTATGATTGAACAGTGAAACTTACGTGATGCTGAAATTTCTAATCATTATTATAAAACTGTAATATGAATATTTTTTCTTAAGATCTGAGCCAGCGACACCAAGAAATCATCCAAGCGGTTAAGACTCGTCTTGATCAGGAGCACAAGGAGGTGTTAGAAGAATTAGAAGCTCGTATGTTAGCTGACCATGCCATTAAAACTGAACTTCTTCGTTTGGAGGTTGAGAATGAATGGAAAGTCAAGCTGAACGAAGTGGAGAAACAGCGGTTTACAGTACAAGAGGAAATGGAACGACAGTTGCAAGAGGTAGGGATTTTATTTCTTTTAGTTTATTATCTTTTGGAATTGTTATGGTGATGACAGTGATGTTGACGATGACAGTGGTGGTGATGACTGATCGATGATGCTGATGGTGGTGATAACAGCGATGATGATGATAGTGGTGGTTGATGACTGCTGTCAATGATGATGATGGTGGTGGTGGTTGTAATGATAATGAGAGTGATGATGAGAGTGATAATGAGTGATGATAGTGGAAGTGATAACTGGTGATGATAAAGGTGGTGATGGTGGTGACTAATGATGATGGAGAGTTATGATGATAATAAGGATGATGACAATGATGATGATAGTGGGGTGATGATGATTATGATGATAAGGGATTTATGGATTAATGAAAGAATGAATGAATGACAATGTTGGTGAAGATATAGACTTCTTTAGCTTGGGCTCTTTCTTTTTCAATTCAGACCACGTGAAGTACTCTTGGGAATAAGATTCTTTGTTTTGTTTGAGTTGTATTCATGTTCATATGTGTTCTCATGCGAAGCCGTTAAACAAAGAAATAATACTGTAAGAATGATTTTTATTCATATTTTTGTTGTCAGGCGCGAAATGAGATGAAAGAAATAAAAGAGAAACATAAACTTGAAATAAGTGAAAAGATGGCTGCACAACAGAAAGAGCTCGAGAACAAACACAAAGCTGACCTCACTTCCGAACTGGAGAAACAAGACAGTGTACTCAAAGAATCTCACCAGAAGGAGCTTGAGGAATTCGGGGAAGTCTTAAAACAAGAATATACTCGTAGGATTCAAGATTTGGATAAAGAGTATTCCAAAAAACACAGTGCAGAGATTGAAGAATTACAGAAAGCTCTCGAACGGGATAAGGAAGAGTTTACTATCGCTACACTTGATGAATTGGGACAGAAACATACACTAGAAATGCAAAGACTGCGTGAGGAATTGAATGACATAATGAATCAAGCAGAACAGACAAAAATGCAGATGGAAAAGAAACATCAAGAAGAGATGCTGGATATGAACAATAAAATCACACACGAATATGAAAAAATCGAAAAACTGAGAGCAGACTTGGAGAGCGCACATGATACGACGGCCCAAGAGCAGGCACATCGCCTTGAGGAACTCCGCGATGAGATGGAACAACAAAAAAGCCAATTCAAGAAACAGCATTTAGGGGAGTTAGAGGAACTCAAGGGTGAATTTGAACGGAGACTCGTCGAGAAGGATCATGATCATGCGGAAGCTTTGGAAACGCTACGGACAGAATTTGAAAACAAGAAGCTTGAGAGCGAGTTGGAACATGTTAGAGAGATTGAAAAGCTTACGGAGGAATTTGAAAATAGGTTGGTAGCTTACATACATGAATCATATGTTTGTTTCCCTTAAGTGTTAAGAGGATCCACTTGTTGTACAGGAGTACTAAGGCGTCCGTATTGTCACCGCGCCGTTTAATATAAAAGGAAGTTAAAGACCACGTTGTTAGGAAGGTGTGAATGTAGATTGGTAAGGTCTTTTGGGGTTTCATGCGATTGACTTACCTAAACTTATGCCATGCCAAACAACCAGTCTACTTTATATCTCGCTCCCGTCATGTACTTACTTGCCCGTTCGTTTATTTAAACTGACTAAATGCATCTCACCTATCTGCCAGCCTAATGATTAGGGCCAAATCTAACTACCTGTGTTCCATTCATCAGTGATGCCTCTTGTTACCCAACTCAAGTACTATTAATCTGTCTTTCTGTCTGTCCGACCCAACCACGACCCGCCACTTTACACCTACTTGCCTTATAATTGCTAGTGTCTTTCAAATATCTGTGTTCCATCCATCCCACCTATGCTTAATTCTTTAATCGCCAGCCCTCCTATTTATCTCAATCCTAATTATTCTTCTCTTTCTTAGGCATTTATCAAGCGAAAAAAGTTACAACGAAAAGATCAACGAACTTGAAAAACAGTTGTTAAACACAAAGGAAGATTTCGAAACGAAACTTCAAGAACAACTTGGCCAAGGTGTTAAAGATTCACAGGAAAGATACCAGGACGACGTGAGTAAACTCACCGAGGAGCTGCAAGTACAGAACCAAAAAGAACTAGAAAAACTAAGACAGGAATGTGATCAGGAACATCAAAAGAAAATAGAACAACTAGAAGACACGATACGAACATTACGTTCTGAACACGAAAAACAATGTGAAGAAATACGTGGAGCGTTTCAAGAAGAAAAGCTGAAGGACTATGCAAAAATGAGCACGAAAATGGCTTTGAAGACGGCACAGTCCCTTGAAGTGTTGAGAAGCTCAATGGAGAAGAAACACGAACAGGAAATTGAGGAATTCCGTGAAGAAAGTCAAAAAGATTACGAAATGACTGCCTTGAGGCTTTCGTCACAAATCGAAGAAATGGAACAACGAAATCGAAAGACCTTGCACGAACTTAAAAATCAACTAAAGGAGAAGGACAAGGAGATCGAGAACTTGAAACTCGAGCTCAGTTCCAAAGATGAAGAGTTGAGCAGTTTAAGCAACAGCTTCAGTGAGGAAGTCAAGAATATCCAGAAGAACCAGTATGATGATTTGTTGAATGAGGTTTCTTTTGTTCGAGCTGAACTGGCCATGGAAGCTGCTCAGAAGATTGAGGAAGCAAGACTCAAAAGCAATAACAATTTACAAGATGTAAATAGACTTGAAGAGGAGTACAAGAGCAATATTCAAATGCTCTTGACAAAACACGACAAACAAGTGGCAGACTTGAGTCAAGAATACGAGAAACAGATTCGAGAGCTTAAAGATGAACTACAAGTCGCTGAGGCATGGGGAAAGAAGAATGGAGAGAAAGTTCACTTTGAAGAAGTTGAGAAGAAACTACAAGACATTAAAGACCACTATGAAGAAGAAATCCAGAAACTTCGAAATGAGAAGGATGTCGAGTCAGAAGGCAGGAAAGTTGATATAGAAGAAAAACATGTTAGTGAACTGATGGAAAAACAGGCAGAGAGAATCAAAGAGCTGGAACATTCTCTAGAAGATGAAAAAAAGAAGTATCACGATGCTGAAGAATTTCTAACGTCCAAACATAAGGAAGAAGTTGAAGCTTTGAAGTCCAAACATCTGCAAGAAATGGTTGAGTTAAGAGAGAGTTTTTCGTCAGACGTTGAAGCACTTAAAGAAGAACTTGTCAAAACCTCTGATGATGAAAAATTCGTTCTACTAAAAGACGAGTTAGAAAAGAAACACAATGATGAGCTCGTTGCTTTGAGGGATTACATGGAAAACCGTTACCAGGGAGAACTGGAAGATGCCAAGCAAAAGTATAGAAATGAGCTTCAGAAACTACAAGAGGAAATGTTGAATGCTGAAGACCAAGAAAAGTTTGAGAAGTTGAAAGAATCTTTAGAAAAAAGTCACCAAGAAGAACTAGAATCTCTTAAAAACGAACTTGAAGAGGAACATGAAGAACACATCAGGAACCTTCGAGATGAGTTTGTTGAAATTCTAAAGGCAAAGGAGAGCGAAGAGGGTGGTGACAGTGAAGCAGAAAAGAGAATTATTGAACAAAATCAGCAAGATAAGCTAGACGCGCTACGGCAAGAACTTGAAAACGAACATGAGGAACAACTGCAACAGCTTAAAGAAGAATTCCTCCAGTTGCTACAGGAAAAAGAAAAAAGTTTCCTTGCAAATCAAGGTAATCCCGACATTGAAGAAGAACTGCAAAAGCTGAGGGAACAATTAGAGACTGAACATGAAGAAGATAAAGAGAAAATAAGAATGGATCTTCTCAGTGAAGTAGAGGAATTTAAAAATCAGCTGCAAGAAGCTGCAGAGAAGGATATAGAAGAAGCGAAAGCTCAGTTACAGGAACAAATGTCCCGCAAGGAAGAGGAGATTATTTCCAAGAGCGACGAACAGATAGAAGCTTTAAAACAAGGTTTGCTTTTACGAATTCTGTTTGGTAGAACGAGTGTGCTCAGGCTAAGTGTTTTCCATTTCGGCCGGAGTGTCATTCCCTTGATTATTATTTCTTTGTTCATTGTTAATGCGTCAGAAGAACGTTGATGTGGTTGTAGCTCAGTCAAGCTAAGAATCTTTTGAATACAATTGGTTAGAAATGAAGGCAAAAAGCGTCTAAGAAGGAAAACCATATACAGAAATTTTTATTAACTATTTCATTTTCACTCCCCTACTGGTATATCAGGACTTTTCAATCTTGGGGTTCAATTATATTATTAGAGAGTTTTAGATTTACGTTCACGGCAAACGTCAAACGTCAGTTGACCAGTGAAAAAGTATTTTACATTGCTGAAAAGGAATTGCAAAAGAATCCAAGTAGTAGAAAAACAAGTGTGTAGTGAGAAAGTTTGTAAAAGGTAAATTAAAATACAGGAAAACGATGAAAACGTGGTCACGTTTGCCGTTTGCGGGAAGAAATAAAGTCAATCTAAGACTCTCTATTGTCTCATTTAACCCCGTCGTACTCAACTAGGAAGAGGATGGGAGGGGGGTGGGGAACTGGGAAAGTAATTTTAATCRTCTATGCATAAAAGGAATAGAAAACCTTTTTGATTGCTATTGTTTACCTTAGTGCATATTTTTACGCCCTAGTTTACGTCCATTGATTGTATACTTAGCAGCCAGATTAGGCTTCCTTAGCATCATTTGTTAGCACCATCTTACCATGTCTTTGTCTGTTGATTACTTTAAGAGCTGATTAATATTCGACCATTTAATTAATTTTTTTACAGAGCATCCTCAAGAGATGGAGCAACAAGATAAAGATCTGAGCGAAAAACACAAAAATGAACTTGCTAACCTAAGAACAAAGCACGAGCAGGACCTAAAAGAATTAAGAGAAAAGTTTGATGAAGAACTTCGAACAGAACGATCCAAACTCGAACAAGAAAAGCAACATGATCTCGAGCGATTGAAGGCGGCCATGGACGGCAGTATTAGTGAACAGCAACAACTTCAGTTGAGCATGCTCCAGGAGCAACATGAGCGTGAGCTCGAGACTGTCCGAGCGGAACTGGTAGAGGCACATATGAAGAAGTTTGCGGAGATGGCATCGAGGCTGGAAGGAGAGCACAAGGTATAACATTGATGATGGGGAAAAACTACAAATAGGAACTGCAGAGAGGGAGGGGCTGGAGGACTTTAGTCTTCCCTCAGAAGCGGATCCAGGGCTATCCCGAGTGCCATTACGTGCTCATTCTTTAGTTTCAAACGGTTTATTTACATCTTACTAATTAATTATACTTCTACTACTAATAATACTCATACTGAGGTATTGCTTTGCATTTGATGAAGACATGTTCGACTAATTTGGCAAATAAAAGTAGCCGGTTGTAGGATCTGTACTAAACCTGAAATTATTCCAAAGTACTCCAGTATTTTGACAAGTATCTCTAAATTTCTTCAAGAATTTAGAAAATAGATTAGTACAATTGATTTTTTCAATTTCTAAAATATTAATTTAGCTGTTTAAATCATGCAAAATATTTTATGTCTTACTCGCAATGCATGGTGGGATAACCCTGGATCGTCCTCAGGCCTTCCCTTCTGCTAATATCCACTAAATAGATTTTCAAGTCTCTCCCCTCATCCACCCCAGTGACATATTTTCTTTTTTACCATTACAAGGATGATTTGGAAGATTCTATCCAAGCGGTTCGCGTCGAAATGAAACAGAAATTTAAAGCAGAGATCGAACAAGCCAAAGAAAAAGCGCGTCTTGAACTCGAGCAAGAGCATCTTCAGAACCTGCAGCTGCTGGAAGAAGAACTGGAACACAAACATGCCGCACAAATGAAAGGATTGGCGACGTTACAGGACAAGCATCAAGAAGAAATACAGCTTATAAACCAGGAACATAACAAATCTATGGAACAGTAAGTAATCTATGGCTGACTAGAAGTAGTATTCATGCTTTGTTTCCTGTGAACTGGGAAATACAGGCGATGTGTGCTGGTAATGCGCCCCCTCTCACCAATGCGACCCGGGATCGAGTCCTACCGATCTCGATGTAGTATGTGAGTAGAGTTGTTTGTTGGTTCACTCCTGTTCTTCGAGATTTTTTGCTCCGGGTTTTCCAGTTTTTCCTCCCTCCTCAAAAATCTACTTCTAAGTTCTAATTCGGCTGCCTTATCAATTGGATTTGCAAAATCCTGTTAGGCAATAAACCGTCCACCCAGGATTGGTGAACGCATTATGATAACGAGGGTGGTGTGTGTAGCCCATGCGCTGCTCTCACCGCTATGGTCATGGGCTCGATACTTAGATCTGGCATTATATTTGGTAGTTGTGATGCCGGAATATGATAAGCATGTTGATGATCGATAACTGAAGTGGTGGGGATGAGGATGATAGAATGTAGACGAAAATGTAATTATAATGGTCGTGGTCGTGATCGTGATCGTGGTCGTGGTCGTAGTCGTGGTGGTCGTAGTGGTGATAGTAATAATGCTGCTGGTGGTTGTCGAAGATGGTATTGATGATGAAGATGGTTAGGGTGATTATGGTGGTGGTTGTGGAGATAATGATGATGGTGAAGGTGATGGAGGTGGTGAGGATTATGATGGGTGATAATAGTGATAATATACATGATGATAATGGGGAGAGCAATGACGCACCGATACATCCTCATCATCTTACAGCATTAAAGCGGCCCTGGAAGAGAAATACAACGAACAGTTCCTGGCCGTAAGCTCTGCTGCCGACCAAGAAGTGTCTCAAGCCAAGGATGAACTTGAAACTGCTCACAGGAATGAAATACAAATGTATGAAGCGGCCTTGGAAGAAGAAAAGGCTCGTGTACTGGCGTTAGAGGCTGTTCAAGCCAGTCTTCAGACAACTCACAAAGAAATCATGGACAACGCTAAAGAAGAGTCTGATCGTAGAATAGAAAGCCTGCAGGCATTGATGGATGCTGCGCATGGCAATCAAGTACAGGAGCTACAGAACCTAATCGAGGAACAGCACAAACAAGTAAGATATGACAACCACCTTATACCGATTTGATTTGAATACCAAACTAATAGACTCCTTACAGCACTTTGAAATGCAGCTCAATCTAGGGGACAAAACAATAGGTTCCAGTTCTCAGGAGATTGGAATTCTTTTATTTTGTCCCCCAGAACAAACTGCTTTGACGTCCCATGCAAGAGGTCTATATCCAGAAATGTATTATTCATCCTAAAATGAGTTCAGTAAAGAGAAGAATTTTAGKAACTATTTTATTGTTTTTACGAAATACTTTTTGTTTTGAATTTAAAGTAAAAAGTATAAATAAACTATTCGATATTTTCCTGTAGTAGTGGTTCGTATTGAGTAAAGGCTCGGGCAGTGACTCGATTTATTGCGTGTCCTCGTGTTTCCAACTCTACAACAGTCTGTAAAACGCTTTCGCCTCCAACGTTCAACGCTATAGTAGCACCTATAGTTTCTCGTGCCGATTTTTCAGTTCATGACGCTATTTCCAATAATTCTTTTAGGAACAGTAGCACCTATAGTTTCTCGTGCCGATTTTTCAGTTCATGATGCTATTTCCAACAATTCTTTTAGGAATTGAGTCGCCTACAAGTAGAGATGGACAAACTCAAAGAAGAACACGCTGAGGAGAAAACACTCCACGAAGCGCAGTTGACCAATGAATTACAGAACCAGCAAGAAAGGATGAATGCGGAGCTTGAACAAGCGCAAGAGGCGATGCGCATGAAGGAGAAGGAGCTGGAGGATGGCTTACAGGAAATGAAGGTGAGATATCAAGAAATTACTTCATTTTTCCCTTTTTTTTTCACAAGGAGCCGGAAAGACAGATTTGTATTGAGGATTAACAGTGGAGGAACAATTATGTGGAACCACTTTAACCGCCAAACTAACCCCTTCATCCACATTTTAAAACCATAACAGAATGTCATTCCCATAACACCATTTGGGCTAACATAACTCTCAGTAGACTGCATTTCTGATGTAAGAGCGGTATTACGTGGTCATGGACTGACGTTCACGTGGATTCGTGTGATTAAAAGTAGATTAGGATTATATTATAACCGAAAAAGGGATGGATAAGAATGAACAAAAAAAGGCAAAACCTGCTCTGCTAGTATTCAGTTTTATGTCCGTACGGTGCCTTGTAAATGGAAAATGTCAAATAACTTTCGTATTATCATTTTTAGGAAACAAATCAGAAATTAGCTGAAAAGTTAAAGGAGGTAAGAAAGTTCATTTGTTGTGATCGTTTTAAGGCGAAGGAAGCAGTTAAAAGGCATTTTTAAAGCTCTGCTGACGTTTGTGTCTGCTAGGGTAACGATAGGTGCCGATAGTAACACGGAAACGAGCTAATATATATATAGCGTATCATTATTGCACTAGTACCTTGAGCTTATTTCCTAAATGCAACATTCAAGTAGCTTCCAAAGATTTTTCAGTAATACATTGAAATTAATGCTTTTTTTAAAGAATTGGAATGGCTACTTAAATTATTCTAAAAATAAGGCAGCACCGGAATGGCTCCCCAAAGGCTCCCTCCCACTGCGTTAAAATATTTTCTTTCCTGAATGTTCAGCATTGCAATGGATTCTTAATATTCTAGCATAAGGCAAGTCCGCAACATCCCTATAGCATTTCAGCAATAACTTTTCGTGACATTGAAATGGCTTTACATTACACTGCAATGGGTTCTTGTATATTTGACATTAATGTTTTTTTTCACTTACTGTACAGCTAGGCAGAAAGTATCTGTTTTGGATTAACAAAGCTTTTTATCTTTTCAGGTCCAAGAGGAAAACGCCATCATCCAGCGAGATGTGGAGAGAACGCAAGAACGCTACGATATGCTGATGGCGCGACATGAACGTGAGCACGAGGAGGACCAGAACCTTGTCACCATGTTGAAGTCAGATGTAGAGCGGTTAGCGGAAGAAAGGTGAGTCATATAACAATAGTTGTTAATGGTTGTGTCATCTTTTCATGTGTATGTATACCACTATGGCTGTCTTAATAAATGAGAAATGAATTCTATATTTATGATAAAATAAATATATAGCTTGCTACCAATAGATTTGATCACAGTAGAAGTTATTTTCTAGTTGATTGGCAAGTTTTCAACTAAGATGTACATAGATGATTGAGGTTTAAGGGCAGTGTTTGACCTTCACTGAAGGTGGGCTGAAGAAAAGACTTTCATGAGATTTCTTCACTTGATTGACACCAAGCTATATATTTGCTACATTACTTACTAAGTTGATTTAGTTGATTTTGGCTTCCACAAATACACTAACCGTTAACCAATCAGATTCAAGAATTTTGAAGAATTTTGAGAACTGTGAAAAGTGTGGTACTTAAGAGCGGATGTCCCTAAATGTCAACTACCGCRGGAAAATCGAAAAAATTCGAAAATTCCTAAAATATTCCAGAAGAAAGCCTTTGTGGTTCTTATTACCAGAAAAATACTTTTAGGATATTCCGCTTTTTAAATAGCGATTTTTTAAATGTTTTGTAATTCA